GGGGGAGGGGTTGGGTGATTGGGGGGATTTTGGGGTGATTTGGGGTGATTGGGGTGATTTGGGGTGATTTGGGGTGATTTTGGGGTGATTGGGGTGATTTGGGGGTGATTTTGGGATGATTTGGGGTGATTTTGGGGTGATTTGGGGAGGGGTTTTGGGGCAGTTTCTGGGCGATTTTGGGGTGATTTTGGGTGATTGATTTTGGGGTGATTTTGGGGCAGTTTCTGGGTGATTTTGGGGTGATTTTGGGTGATTTGGGGTGATTTTGGGGCAGTTTCTGGGTGATTTCTGGGTCAGTTCTGGGGGTGATTTTGGGGTGATTTCAGGGTGATTTGGGGTGATTTCAGGGGCAGTTTTGGGGTGATTTCAGGGACAGTTTTTGGGTGATTTTGGGGTGATTTAAGGGGCTGATTTTGGGGTGATTTTAGGACCTGATTTCTGGGTGATTTCAGGGTGATTTGGGGGTGATTTCTGGGTGATTTTGGGATCAGTTCAGGGGCAGTTTTTGGGTGATTTTGGGGTGATTTCAGAGTGATTTTGGGGTGATTTCTGGGTGATTTTGGGGTCAGTTCAGGGGCAGTTTCTGGGGCAGTTTCTGGGTTATTTCAGAGTGATTTCGGGTCAGTTCAGGGGCAGTTTCTGGGTAATTTTTGGGTGATTTCAGGGTGATTTTGGGGTGATTTCAGGGTCAGTTCAGGAGCAGTTTTTGGGTAATTTTGGGTTATTTCAGGGTCAGTTTCTGGGTGATTTCAGGGTCAGTTCTGGGGCTGTTTCTGGGTGATTTCTGGGTGATTTTGGGGTGATTTCAGGGTCAGTTCAAGGGCAGTTTCTGGGTGATTTTGGGTTATTTCAGGGGCAGTTTCTGGGTGATTTTGGGGTGATTTCAGGGTCAGTTCAGGGGCAGTATCTGGGTGATTTTGGGGTGATTTCAGGTCAGTCCAGGCTCCCACCCCGCACACACCCCCGGGGTCGATGCGGTACGTGTCGGGGTTGATGAGGTCGATGGTGACGCCCAGGTCCGGCTCCGTCAGCAGATCGTGCTTGTGCTGCTTCTCCAGCGACGTCGCCTTGTACTGCACAAACCTGCCCAAACCGCCCCAAAACACCCCAAAATCAGCACAAAACGCCCCAAAATCAGCACAAAACGCCCCAAAACCGCCCCAAAACACCCCAAAACACCCCAAAACCAGCCCAAAACTCCCCAAAATCAGCAAAAACTCCCCAAAATCAGCACAAAACACCCCAAAACCAGCCCAAAACACCCCAAAATCAGCACAAAACACCCCAAAGTCAACCAAAACACCCCAAAAAACAGCCCACAAAGCTCCCAAAACCGCCCCAAAACACCCCAAAAGCAGCCCAAAACACCCCAAAAGCAGCCCAGAACA